GCTCTGTCAAACTCCCCTCACTCTCTTTGCGAAGCTTCCTGCAACAACTGCGCACTCTCTCTACGACCTCCCCTCTCTATGCAAGGCTTCCCTCGCGCTAGCTGCAGCAGCTGCGCATCCCTCTGTCTCTATTTACAGCCAGAAACCCATGCGCTTGGGCATCCCTATGTCTCCCTGGCGGCCATTGAAGCCTTCTTAGCCATACAGAGAGAAATCCTATGGGTGTCAAAGCCAGGGACCTCTCTCGATCGATTTCAGGTATGGGATCCAAAAGCTCAAATTTTTGGAGTTTTCTCTTTCTACAAGTTCCTTCCTTTGATATATAGATTAGATGGAAGAAAAAAATAGGATTTTCCCTGATTCTCTTCTTTATACAAGTTCCTTGCAACTGATTTAATCACATGAGAAAAACAACTTATCTACTTCTATTAAAAATCATTTGACCTTGCTACTTTCAAAATCAAAAGCAAAAGCAAATTTACTGAGGAAGAGAAATATATGATTTCCAAAATTTCCTAATTATTGTTATTCAAATCAGATTTTTATTATTGTTCATTTTTGTTGAGTCTTGTAGAAACATATGGTTAGGGTATCAGTTTCTCTTTGTGCTAAGTTTATCGAAGAAGGGACACCTAGAGCAATGGGGACCATAGTCCTTAATAAAAGCATCTGAAATAATAAAATGTGGTGTTATAATGTATAACAACCTGTAACTTTTATTCTTTTCATTTCATTTTTTTTTTATCATTATCATTGTCTGTTATGAAGTGAAAGCAACAGTTCAGAAATTTACAAGAAATTAGCTGGTTACCCATTTCATTTTTTATAGTTTCTTTATGTGGGCATTTGTTCCTGGAAATCAATAGGACAAATAAGTGGGTGTATTCTTTTCTCTTGTGTACCTTGTTATTAGAAAGGGTGAACTAGGCTGCGTGATAATTCTCATGGTTATTGCGTTATATATTGGGGTCTCTATTGTCGGCCTCAGTGCCTTGTTTGATTATGTAAACCATTAGGTTTCAAACTCTGTGATATGCAGAAACAAAAATAAATTTAGAACTGAGCAAATTTTAGGATGCTTGTGATATGCCCAAATTTTGAAGTTTGAATTTTTTACCCAAAATTTTTCAAGGATATTGTTTTGATTTAAGGCTGGTAATGTACTTACTGTGAAACTTTTGTACTGGTACGAGGGTTTATATAGAGCTTTTCTTATAATGAAATAATTTGTTTTGTGATTCCATATTTAGTGCAATGATTCTGGTTTTATGAGCCCATTTCTATTTGTTGCTTTGATCCTATGTTTGGTGCAATGGTTCGGTTTTTTGTGCTCATTTATAATTGTTGCTTTCTTCTTTATACAAAACTTCAAATAATTGGGTTATTGAATCTATTACTTTATATGAATGTTGTTTTCTGCTCTAATTTGATATGTGTCTTTCTATAAATAGCGTGTCTTTCTTTAATTCAATCTGTTATCCATAATTTGCAAAAGAATTTTCTTATTGCACTATTGCCTCCCAATAATATTTATTGTTTATTAGTTACAATTTGCACTTTGCAGTCTTGATGACGTCTCTTTTATCTGTTAAGGATTGTTTGAGATTTCTTCTGAAATTTTTGCAATATAGATTGTATAGGCACTATTATAGATATTGTTTTGGGAAATCAGTGTTTGTGCATAACAAAATGTCCTAGTTCAAATTGGGTCATCTTGCTTTGAAGACAAGATGCAAAAATCTAAAAAGAGAATAGAGCCAACGGAAATATCCCCATTTAAGAATTGTGGCACTAAAAAGTGGCAGTCAAAGCTGAGGCTAGTCCACTAACTAATAGTTAGCCCAACGGCTCAAATTGAGTCTAATGCTTAAAAAAACCTAAAAAAAGAAAAACAATTAAAAATTGGATGCCCCTTATCATTGGTAACAGCGTTTAAAAAAACGCCGAGTCGAACCGAACTCGCCCGGTTCGACTCGAGAATCGCTATGGATGGATCGAATCGGCGAAAAAAACGGGAATCGTCCGGTTCTAGAGAGAGCCGGACGATTCTTTACAGTGACTTGCTGATTCACTGTACGGGATCGGCAAGTCAGTACAGTGAATCGGCGAGTCCCGTACGGTTTATTTTTTTTTTTTTTTTTTTTTTTTTTTTTTTACTTTTTTTTTTTTTAGTAACCCTATTGATTAGTAATTTTTTGTAATCCAT